TTAGCCTGAGGGCAAATTTGTCTTTTGTACGCGCCTAAGGGCAATTTAGTCTATTAGTATTATTGTTGTGCATAAATGGGCTTGTTATTTCTAAAATTAGGTTCATGCAGAAAATCAAGTTGTGAGCCTTAGGTTTAGGGTTTGGAAGAGATTTTCTACCTCTCGAATTTTAAGAATTGGGAGTGATCGCCTTTCTCTCAAATTGTAGGTGTTTATCTTTGTATTCCTTTTGAGTCGTTTGGATTATTGAAGAAAATAAGTATATTTGGAATAATTTATGTGGAAAGTGTGTTGATTTTGACGTCAGATCATATCAAATTGGTACCATAGCAAGATTTTGGGAAACAGTGCTCGAGATCGTCATACAGTCGAGAGCTTGCGGAGAAGGTCGACAACATCGCAACAGGAGACGACGTAATAGTTGTGATTTTATCTGGGAAGTACTATGGCGAGGGGAAGGATTACGACGAGGGGAAGGATCACGGTATGCAGACGATTCTGTAACTTCACGAAATAGTCACGATTGGAGCTAACTGAGAATAATCGCGTGAAACAGTCACCAATAGAGCTATGAATACGGGATCGCGGCTGACACTGACGAGCCGCAACTTTTTTCCTTCTTCTGATTTGACCTCAAGATCCAGCCGCGATCAAGCTAGCTACGAAGCAACAACAAGATCATGGCACACAGATACCTAAAACCCCCATTTTTTTCTCTTCCTCTCGTGCGTCTACCTGATAGAGTTGCGATCAGAGCTACTTGGGAAGGCGGCAACTGAAAAGCGATGTACAAAGACGCAAAACTCCCAACTTTCTCTTGTTCCCATTCCATAACTCCATTCCAGCTCTTCCCTCGCGCATTAGTCGCAATTCCGGGCTAATTGGGAATACAGGACCGCAACTGCCAGACAATCGCAATTGCAGCTACCTGGGACGCCATGACCTGATTGGACTAATTTGGATCACTGTTGCGGAATAGACACTCCATTTGTCTCACCCAGAAGCAAATGACGGATTTCATCATATAAAAATTGACCTTTGTGAAGAAATTATGAGAAGAATGGAAACTAAGAAAGTAGATAAAATTGAGAAGAAATTAGAGAAAGAAATGAGTTAAATCAAACTAGGATGAAAGAAAGGTTAGCCATCAAAGAGGATAGGTTATCTTCTATAGAGAACTGACTGGTTCGAGAGCATAGGAGAAATTCGAGAAATACTAAAGAGACTCATTAAGATTTAATCCAAGACCCCACTAACGGTTCAATTTGCAAAACCTAACCAAAGGTTGACTAGAGAATTTGTGATAAGATCGAAAGGAAAAGAGATCAAACGTGAGAAATATGAGGAAAACATCCACCATCACGAAACCCCTCCCCCAAGGCTCGATTGGGGGTGGGGGTGGATTAGAGATTTCTGATGGAGGCGGTTGAGTTGAAACATGACGAAGAAATTATGCAAGAGATATAGAGAAGCACAAAAAATAAAGGAAAGAAGCAAGAATGGGATATGGCTATGATCAAAGGAGGGAGTTTTACCCTCGATACATGAGGGAAACAACAGAGGAAGAGGAAATTGGGGTGAAAATGTTAGAGTTAAGAAATTAAAGATGTCAATCTTTGAGAAAGAAGATGCACGTGACTGGGTGTATCGGGTAGAGCAATAATTCGCGGTGAATGTGCTAGATGGGGAGGAGAAACTCATGGCAGCAGGGTTACTTTGAAAGGGAAAGCTTTAGGTTGGTTTCAGTTAAGGGAGACTAGATACTTGATCCATTCGTGGGAGGAATTCAATGAATGTTTGTTGGAAAGATTCTAAGCAATTCGAAAAGGAGACCGACACGAGCGATTCTATGTCTTGACTCGGGTGGGGACTGACAAAAAAATATAGAGAAAGATTTGACCTATTGTCGAGACGATTGAGGGGGATTTCAAAAGCAAGAGTTGAGGGAAATTTCATTAAGGGCCTAAAGCCCAACATACGGGTATCACACCTACTAAGACCGCGGGGGTTGAGAGAGACAATGAAGCTAGCTCAAATGGTAGATGACAAGAATTAGATGAAGAAGGCAAGCAAAAGCAACATAGATGGAACGTTGCACCGAATTGCTACAACCACAACAATATCAAAAGCTCAAGTATTGGAAGTCCATAGAGAGGCTGCACGAAACACGAATAATGTATCACAATCGGGAGCAACACTCAAGCATCTTACAGAGACAAATATTTGAGAGAAGCGAGCCAAAGGGTTATATTTTAAGAGTGATGAAAAATTTACCTCCAAATGTCGTTGCAATGATCGAAAATTATAAGTTCTCACAGTGCAAGAAGAGGAAGCAGAGAATTAAGAAATGGAGACAGTTGTGGGGGAGGAGGAACACTCACTTTGTCTCACCTTGTGGACAAGGTGTCTTTTAGGAGGGGTAGCATTATTACGTTGGCGTCTAGCCTAAGGGAAGATTTGTCTTTTGTATGTCTAAGGGCAATTTGGTCTTTTCTTATTATTATTATTGAGTATAAATAGACTTGTTATGTCTAGGATTAGGTTTATGCAAAAAATGAGTTGTGAGTTTTAGCTTTAAAGTTTGGGAAAGATTTCCTACCTCTCGAATTGAAGGAATTGTGAGAGATCACCTACCTCTCGAATTGAGGAATTGTGAGAGATAACCTAACTCTCGAATTGAAGGCATTCAGCTTTGTATTCTTGTTGAGTTGTTTGAATTATTGAAGAAAATATTTGTATTTGCCCTAATTTCTATGGAAGTGTGCTGATTTTGATGTTGGATCGTATCAGGGTCATCCACGTCTACACAATCATTTATTTGGCCATTTATTAACTCAAATTGAAGAAATCTTCTTCAAATATTTATAATTATTCTCATGATCTTAAATCTCAGGCTCCATAGAACCACCGAATATTATTCCTAATCCTTAATTTAAACATGAAAATTTTCGCTATGGTCCAGAAAATCTTTGATACCAAGATATGATCCATAAGTGGGTTTCAAAATGCTTTTAGAGCAAGTAAAAAAAATAAAGGTAGATGACTTAAATTTTCAATAGAATACATTATAGTATAATGGCTTTACACTAATTTTTTGCCTTAAATAGTAAATAATTTCACTGCTAACTACATAACAAAAACAATGACAACAGGTAGACACTTATCACCTTCCCTAAACCAATTGTGGTCGGTGTCTAGCACTAGTAGTTTAGATACCTGGATTAAGCTGCTAGAGTTCACCAATTGCAGCTGATAGAGAAGAGGAAAAATGATGGTCTTACCTGTTGCAATAAGAAAACATATAGACAAATAAGAAGTCAACAGTTCTTTTGTGGAGGAGAGAGTTTTCAGAAACTGTTAGTCACGTTTTACTCAATCAAACAGATATTTAGCCTTAAAATTGATTATGAAAAAAGATACAAGAAAAGTCTAAAAGTCCATTCAAATTCAAAGAAACTACAGAATAAGAACAAAACCCAAAAAGTAGCTAACAACCACATTTCTTACCTTAGGAAGCGGTCAAACTTAGGATAAAGAGAAAATTAGTGGAGAAAATTTTGTGCAGTCTGTCAATTTACTTCACTTGCATTTCTCTTTCATCCAAACTTGTTGACCATCTTAATTTGAAAATACAAAATGCAATATTGCAATTAAAATTGCAATTAAATACCTTCTTAATTTAAAATTACAAATGTACCCTTTTAACATCAATTTTATGAATCGCTTCTGATTAAAAACTCTTTTTACTCCACAAATTCTAATAGTCATGGCATCATAAACATTTTTAATAGCTCTATAAATTTGAGATGCACAATTTCTCCATAATACCAACCAAATCAATTCTTATGACACCCAATCATATCCTTTCACAATCATAAGAACAATAAGAATATTATTTTTATGCTTCCTTTTTCATTACCTGACATAGCACAAAAACTACATTCATATTATATCTTCATGAAGTCAAACAAAATTGATTCAATCATAATTCTAAGCATATGTTTAATTAACCTCCACCATACTTTGGTTATATGTCACATGAATTTGATCATCCCAGTATCAGCAAAAGCCTAAATGCTCTTTTAATGAAATATGGTCACTAAACTTAGTTCAATACCACCCATAACTATCAAGATATTGATAGCACCCTATCCAAGACATAAAGTTGTACCCCTCGTGATCTTCTTTTAAATTAATCATTCACCTTTTTCATCAATCTGCACTCTACTTCATAATAGATCATATGGGTCCTCCAAGGAAAATTTTCTTTCAAACTCATGATGAATTCTAAAAAATGCTTTCAACATACTTTGATGAACTTCACCAAACTAAGAACATTTTATCTTCAATCCTAATAAATCCATCTTTGATGCTTTTGAATATCATTTTTCCAAACTTGATTATTATAAACATTTCATTGTTTTCTTTTTTAGAGCCTAAAGTACTGTATAATTCAAGATGATCAACACAGATATCCTGTTTACAAAACTTATAATCTTCTAATAATCATTGGATATCAATAGTGTTTAATATTTAATTAATGTTAAAAATAATACTTCATTTCACTAGTTTTTTTTTATTTTTTATCTCGATATTTTCCAAGCAAGTCTTCTAATATTATGAGTCATTTCTAGACTTTTCTATGTACATCTTTTTAAATTAACAAAACTTTCAAATTTTCTGCTCTTTAAATTCTTTGAAGCATTGTGGTTAATTGGTTCAAGCGCTTAGCTGCAGACAAATGCCCGAAAAATAGCAAACATTAGAAAATAATTCATAACTGCTTCTGAAGAATCAAAAGAAAAGGCACCGTCAGAACTTAAAATTTCCAGATGTCTAATAAAATAGTTTCCAGTATTTAAAAGATCAAAAAAAAGAATTGATGAATAACTAAGATTTTATCAATTTTTGGTTACTTGGGCAACCAGGTTAATTTTCTAAAGCTAAATTCAATCATATCAAGGTGATTAAAAAAATCAAAATCAAGAAGAGGATGTTACTTGTCTTTCAAATTTAACCAACTGCCGGCGGAATTCATCTCGTTTTTGAGCCAAAAGCACCTGTTTTTTACGAAGTTCCTCCAAAAGTTCTAAATTATCCACTTTCTTCTTCGGTGAAGTCAATGCTTTTGGTCCATTCAATATAACCCCTTTCTGGGGTCCAACAAAAGAAACTGATGCTTCCACAGTCTTTGCATTGCTTTCCTTATGAGTTGCCAACGAAGGAGTCTCTTTTCTTAGTTCAACAGCTGGAGGCTGCATTCGAGCAGAATTGGCTGGCTCCTTAGAATATTGCAGAGGTTTTCCTTTACCGCTACCTTGTCCCTCTTCGGAAATTCTATCTCGATTGGCCCAGAATAGCTTGATGAAACGGTTACCCATCACAGCATCTGGAGATTTTAGAGCTGATTCTGCTACTTCTCTTTTGGAGAACTGCACAAAAGCTTTTTCACTGTTTAAGGGTATGTATATATCAATGACCTCGCCAAACTTTTGAAAATGTGAAAGAAGTGCTTCCCGCCTATTATTCTTCTGAGGAATCCCACATACAAATAGAGTTCGGCAGGCTTTCTGTTGCATTCTTCCTCCCTTGCGCTCAAAATCACTTCGTGGAGCTGAGACAGGTTGAGTGATCACCATTTTTGGCCCAAACTCCCCGGAACTAACAAGTTTGCTTTGGTCTGAAGGAACACTACTACAAACGGTAGAATCTTTACCTTCCCTTGAGTCTTTTGCAATATGTCCTGGAGCTGAATTGTTATTCTCAAATTTAATCCCAATCTCTGACTTACTCCCGGATCCAATTCGGCCCCAAACTGAGAAACCCGCACCCTGAGGTCCAATATTAGCTGTTAAATTTCTGCTATGTAGATCACATTCATTGTCATCAGATAACCGTGAAATCTTATGAGAAGCATCACCCTCCCATAAAGTCTCATCTTCAGTGTTTAGGGAAGGTAACCTTAGAAGAGCAGCTGATGCATCAGTATTATTATTCCATAAAGGCTGGTCAGGATCATATACATCTGCTTCACCTCCCACAACAGAGTTAGGACCATGCAGATTTAGTGTATCCTCATTTGTAGTAGACTTGCTATTTTTAGAAGGCATGTTTTTGTTTACCATGAGAGCTTGAGATGCAGGAACAGGATGTAAGGGACCTGTACCAACTTGTGCTCCGACTACATGTGAATTAGTTATAGAAACTGGAAGATTGAATTGAGATAGGCTCTGCAAATTACAAAGAATCTCTTCATTTTAACCAGGAAAAAAAAAAAGAGTAGAGCATTTTTTATCTAGTTCGAGTCATGATACGGAAAAAAATCAATATTCTACTACCAATATCATTGCAAGAAAAAGCCATTGTTAACAGCATTCAAGTGAAATGATTTATAAGAAGCACAGAACCTAATGATGAGATGAAAACACTTAAAAACAAAGAAATGCCACCACGACATGAAGAGAACAAGACAAATGGTAATCAGAAAGGAAGATGATGTCCCAAAGATTGAAGTTTGTCTTTTTCTCTTTTCCTTTTTTCCTTATACTTCAAAAAGTTAACTGTAGTCCAACAAATTGAATTTGCTAGTAGATAAAATGGCGGCAAGATAGTAAAAGAGAGGATAATTTATGGTATAAAGACGATAAACAAATTGTAAGGCTAAGCTGGACACTTACAAACAACTAAAAATTCCAGACTAACCACTAATGACAGTAAATTGAGTAGCTTTATTCGCTATGACATAACATGACAAAAAAGTCTCCAGACAAGAAATAAATAATACCTGAACATCTTCAACAACAATCCGATTTACACCATGCTCCATCGGGCACATGTCACCTCTCAGGCAAAATCCCCGTTCCTCAAAATCTCTACATCGTTGTCTGGGAATGCCAAGGTTCATAGGATTAATAGTAGGCCGAAGAGTTGTCTGCAAACCTAATGGATGAAGTGGGTCCATGATACCATTAGAAATCCCATGAATGAATCCAAATGCACCCCAGGATGCATTCTGTGAACTTACGGCACCCTGTAGGCCCGGGCCAACAAAAAGACCAGGATGAACCGGTCTCTGAGAAGCCATGTGTGAAGTAAAATCAAGCGGGTCCAGTGAGTTAAATCTTGAATCAGGTTGACTCCATGCAGCCAAATTTCTTCCTCTTCCACGTCCAAGAGAGGCTCGGCCTACAGAAGTAGACAAATCAAGACGAAGTCCAGGATCAGTTCGAAAGGGTGTGTTTAATCTTGATCTTGAGTTTAAATCTGATGAAAAACGTGCAGAGGGTGAAATGCCAAAATTTCGTTTATCTAATCTATTAAGAACATCCCTATCTGTAGAGGAACCATATTCCTTATGAATTTCATGTGGTTGAACCCCTGTTTCCAAATAGAATTGCCCACTTTCCTGGTTCCGGCCTCTCTTTCTGCCGAGCCTCCTAATAGGTTGTTCCTGAACAGCATTATCAAAAGAATTCTCACGAGCATCCCGCTTACGATGTTTATGGTTGCGGTCAGCATCATCATCACTGTTTTCTTTGTCTTCGGGATCACTGACAGGTTCAGAAGAAGAAGACAGGTTGTCTTCCTTTGATAACAAGCTTTTTAAATCCAGAGACTCCACTGCAGCATTAGACATAGATGGCTCAGAAATTTTCATGACATCCAAGTTTACATCAGTGCTTTGGAAAGATCCCTCTTCTAGGGCTTCAAACAACTTTGTGGTAAAAGACATAGAACCTGCCAAAAGTAAGCCATAGAAGCATCAATTATTTGAGAAACCACACTAATAACACCTATAGCAGATGGTCTACAAGTAAACAAAAGAACTAATTTCCAATGAATTGATCTTTCATGACTAAAATATCAAGTCGTATAATATGTAAATTATGATCAGTTTATGCTATGTTACAAAGAAACAATATGAAACCATTTGAACAAAATAAGTGAAAGAATAACCTTAACTAACTAATCAAATATTATAATACTTGTAGAATATTATTTAAAAGTCAAAGAACTTAGGTCACTAAAAAAACAAATCTTTCAAACTTAATACAATCCTTAGACTTCATAAACCAACTGAATAGGCAAAGAATTAGACTGAAGGCATAACCAAGCAATAAACAAAACTAAATCTATCCTTTGAATACCAAAAAACATTAATTCAACAATAAAATGTCATTGAAATCCATTGAAATCCAACGCCTAAATATCAATTATCATGCTCGCTTCAATATCCATCCTGTATTTATTAAGTACTAGGACAAATTTTATCTCAATTTTAAGCCATTAAAAATGTAAATCTATCCGATTTGCACATAGAATTAACTTTTGAACAATGGCTAAGCCACCAAGTTACCCAGTACATCCTGAGTAGATACTTTGAAAGCCAAGACAGAAGTATGAACTTGTGAGTCTAAATTGGCTTGAATTAGTCCAATACAATTGGTTTTATTCTTGTAGGAGCAAACTCAAATAAGGCCGATAATGAATTAAATAATAAATAATAGAAATTAATCTGAATTCTACCAAAAAAATCTAAGCCAATCACCACTAGAACATCAATTTTCTTTAAAATATTGCTCGCAGAATACTGAATTTCGCACAATCTAACTTAAAATACTACCCAGATGCTTTGTGTCAACCATGAGATTACCAAAATGGTACAAAGCAGACGATAAACATAGAATATACATAAAAAAAATAAACTGAATCTATCTTCTGACTACCTAAAAGCATTCATTCTGAAGAAAACATCAGAGAGAACAAAAGCTTAAATAACAATTATCATGCTCGCTTCAATTTTTTTCATCTCCATCCTGTAATTATTAAGTACTAAGTCAAATTGTATCTCAATATTAAGCCACTAAAAATGTAGATTAACCTAATTTGCACCCCAAAAAATCAGTTATTGAACAATGGGTAAGCCGCCCAGTTACCTAAGCACGTCCAAAGTAGAGGCTTCCAAAGCCAAACAAAAGTAAAAACTTTTAAGTCTAAATCAGCATGAAGTAGTTGTATGATAGTGGTTTTACTCTTGCAGGTGCAAATTCAAACATGGCCAATAGTGAATTCAATAATAAATAATAGAAGTCATATGAATTCTAACACAAAACCAAAGCCAATCACCAAATAACACATCAATTTAAAAAATAAAAATAAAAATTGCCTTCAAAACACTAAATTCCACACAATCTAACAAAACTACCAACGATCTGCTTTGTTTCAACCATGGGATTACCACAGTTAGCCAAATCAAACAATTCACAGAAATACACATACGAAAAATAAACTAAATTGTCTTCTGAATACCAAAAAAGCACTAATTCTGCAAGAAAACATCAAAGAAATCAAAAGATTAAATAACAATTATCATGCTCGCTTAATTTTTTTTTCATCTCCAACCAGTATTTATTAAGTACTAGGTAAATTTGTATCTCAACATAAGACCATTAAAAAGGTCAATCTACCTGATTTGCACATATAATCAACTTTTAAACGGTGGGTAAGCTACCCAGTTGCCTAGCACATCCAAGTAGATACTTTGAAAGTAAAGACAAAAGTACAGACTTGTAAGTTTAAGTTGCGTTGAATTAATCGTATCCAAGTGATTTTAGTCTCACAGGTGAGAGCTCAAATAGGGCCAATAGAGAATTAAATCATAAATAATATAAGTTAATATAAATTCTACCATCAAATCTAAGCCAAAAGCTACCAGCACATCAATTTTTTTTAAATTATCACCTGCATGACTCGAAATTTCACACAATCTAACAAAAATACCACCTAGTAGCTCTTTTTCAACCATGAGATTATCACACTTGGGCAAATCAAACAAACACACAAAATATACATACGAACAAAATCCACGCTATTATGGAAAGGGCCTTCATATTCCACTAATAAAGAATCTCAACATTTCAATTTAAAAAGAATAAATCCACGCTATTATGGAAAGGGCCTTCATATTCCTTCTCAACATTTCAATTTAAAAAGAATCATAACCCTTTGCTTTTATTGCAATTAGAATAAAGAAATGGTTAAAAGATAGTTATCTTCAATTGTTGGTATTATGAAATTCCTTTTAAATTATATAAAAAGGAATTTCATGAAAAAACAGTTGGTATTATCTATCTTTAAATTGATTTTTTATTTTAATTGAAATAAAATTTATAATTATCAATTAAAATTGCAAATATATCATTATACTAGAAAGAGATTATTTTTTCAGACATAATTATTATAAGCCAAAAGATTTCATGTTTACAATCACCTTTTGTGCAATTACATTTAAAAACATAAGTTTTTCTAATAAAGAAGACTTCTTTAGCTCTTCAAAACCATGTTGATTTAAGTGTGTATGGAGATGGAAAGAGAGAGAGAGAGAGAGCCGCCTAAGAACAGGAGAATGACAATTCTGAAACCAGTTTTGTTTTTGCGTTTATTGTTTAATATAATCTTCAAATTAAAAATCGCGCCATTGATTGTTATCTATAACATAAGAACTACATGTGGGTGACAAAAAAAATTATCTGTGGATCAAAACTGCCAAGATTTTTTGTGAAAAACTAATCATGCATCAAATATATTAAAAATGCATGAATGATTGGACGACATATGGAAGTGCTTTAAGAGCCTAAGTTTAGACCGTGTATTTCACCAATTAAAGTGTTCAATACATGTGAGATATTATAAAAAATTCATGTGATCCAATTCATTTGAAAGTCTGCACAAATTGAAATTGAAATTATCTTATCATCAATCAAAGCCATCCCTTTTGAAATTTTTCATGCATCTAAGTGATGTTCAAATGTTCTAAAACATTTTGAAACAAGTTTATACCTTAATGAAACAAGTATATAGCATCTAAGCTTATCTAAAACATACAATTACAAAAGAGCACCATCTTGATGGTGCTCTTTTGTAATTGTTTTGGATAAGCTTAGATACTATATACCTTAATAGCATTTAATTATATGCAATTTATATTGATTTTGTTTGTCACGTGACAGTTTAAAAATTGAATCTCATAGAAAAATTTTAATTAACCGTATCCAAAAAAAAAATTACTATATGACTTAAAAACCTTATAAATATTTGAAAAATTATACCATAAACTGATATCTATGTGCATTTAGTGGACTTATACTCTTGCTACTAAAAAGTGCACAACTCTCTCAGCATCTTTTACAAAACCGCATCCTGTCCAAAGAATATTGGAGGCCCTGTTTGCACAATTCTCACATTTTTGTAGCACAAGGGTTGGCAATTTCCTGTTTGCACAATTCTCACATTTTTGTAGCACAAGGGCAAAGCAACTCTGCTATGGCAATTTCTAGCTTATCGTCACAGACAAATAGTCTCACATCGGCTAGGTGTATGACCGAAAAGCAATATTTAAGTCATGGGCTGTGGTTGCCCACCTCTCTTAAGAGTTTTTTTGGGAGGTGACAAGTGGTATCAAAGCAGATTATTGACTATCAGGTGTGTAGACTCTCCATGGTCCAGTAGGACTCTCGGTGGAGCCGATCCATGACGAGGGCGTCACGTGATTGGGTGGAGGAGAATGTCATGAACAAATAGTCCCCAGGTGGGCAGCCCAGGACTTAAATACTGCTTTTCATCCCTACACCTAGCCGATATGGGACTATTTGTCTGTGACATTCTCCTCCACCCAATAACGTGACGCCCTCGTCACGGATCGGCTCCACCGAGGGTCTCACTGGACCATGGAGAGTTCACACGTCTGGTAGCAGTAATCTACCCTGATACCACTTATCACCTCCCAAAAAAACTCTTAGGAGTGGTGGGCAGCCCAGGACTTAAATACTGCTTTTCGGCCCTACACCTGGCCAATATGGGATTTTTTATCCGTGACATTATGGAGTAGCACCCTGCAACAGTTGACTGTTAGCCAAACAGGTCAGGTGCGTTTTCAAAACGCCACCGCACCAAATAAGTTTCCCCAAACGGGCCCTGAGTGTCCTGGAAGCCTTACACATCCATTACAAGCATCCAAAACATGCAAAGCATAGAAAAACGTTGTAATTATCAATGGCATTCCTATAGATGTGCTGATAATGATAGTGAGATAGTAATACAATTTCTAGGAGCAGGTTGCCACTGAAATTCTTCTTTAAATTCGAAATGATATCTAAGATTAATCTCAAAAAAGTCTCCCAAATCAACCTAAGTTGCCCCAAATGGGCCCTGAGTGTCCTGGAAGCCTTACACATCCATTACAAGCATCCAAAACATGCAAAGCATAGAAAAACGTTGTAATTATCAATGGCATTCCTATAGATGTGCTGATAATGATAGTGAGATAGTAATACAATTTCTAGGAGCAGGTTGCCACTGAAATTCTTCTTTAAATTCGAAATGATATCTAAGATTAATCCCAAAATAGTCTCCCAAATATTTGTATATGGCCTTTAGTTCCTCAATTAAATTGGCCACATAAATAGTCAACGAACTAATTTTAAAGTTAAAAGCATCATTATTTATTAAATTTATAACATCATTCCGGTTAAGCCCCAATTGAACCTTTGAACCTTTGAACCAAGAACCATTACTCTAACTTAATTTGCAATGCCTAATTGGGTATAAGAACTTTAGCTTTGTGTTTCAAGTAAAGGGGCAAAGGGATTTATGTGCAGACAAAAATAAAGATTTGTGCATGCAAGTATAGCATGTCATTTAGAGTAGGCACAAACAAAAATTAGCATTAACCTAATTCA